TCTAACCAAACTGGTAGTTTTAAATTGCCGATAATACCAATTCCAAAGTTTTCCGGAGATTAGCGCGATTGGCCTAGATTTTACAACACATTGAATGCTTTAGTTAACGACAAATCAATTTTAAGTAATTCACAGCGATTTTACTACTTAAGAAATGCTTTGGACGGTGAAGCCTTGCAAGTAATCGAATCTATTGAAATTTCAGATGATAATTATAAAACAGCCTTCGAGTTATTAAAGGATAGGTATGACAATAAGAAATTAATTAAACGCGCTCATGTAGCATCACTTTTTGACGTAGCTCCTCTCGCAAAAGAATCATTACATGCATTAAGAAAATTTCTAGACGATTTTAACATTCATTTACGCGCTTTGAAAAATCTCGGTGAATCTGTAGACACGTGGGATGTTTTATTAGTACACCTTATTTCGTCTAAACTTGACCCAATAACCAAACGAGCTTGGGAAACACACTCCTCGAAACTCGACGATATTAAAATCGATGACATCAAGAAATTTTTAAATGACAGATGCAACGTATTGGAGTCACTAGAAGCTAGCAATAACAATATAAATAAACCATTAAAACCTATGCTAAAAAAGAGTTATGAAAATCGTTCTCTATTATCAACTCAAAATAATAATCATTGTTCATTTTGTAAAGGTACACACTCAGTTTACAATTGTCAAAATTTACTAAAGATACCTGTTAAATCACGCCTAGAAGAGGTTAAAAAATTAAGGCTATGTACAAATTGCATACGTGCAATTTTAAGCCGAATTGTAGATCTAGTTCATGTAAATTTTGCCATAAGAGACATAATAGTTTGCTACATATTAGTACAAATGATGTGCAATGTACTAACCAACCGGACTCTAAAATATCTCACACAAGCACTGAAAATGATAGCTCTCAAAACACTCTTCCGTCATAGGGTACAAGTTCATCCTCCAATTCTATTAGTGCACATTCTACTCAAAAATCAGAGCACCATGTTTTATTATCAACTGCTATAATTAACATTAAAGATATACACGGCAATTGGATACAATGAAGAGCACTATTAGACAATGGATCACAATCTAACTTTATGACAAGGCATTTATATTTAAAATTAGGTTTAAATTCTGTAAAAATTAATATACCAGTCACTGGCTTAGGACAATCTCTAACACATATTTTCGGTAAAACAGAAACCACAATAAAGTCGTTATACAATGAATATAAAAAACAGCTTACATTTTTAATTATTACCGAAATAACTGACAACATACCCGCATTTTCTTTTGATTATTCAAACTTAAATATTCCAAATAACATCACACTCGCGGATCCAACATTTAATAATTCAAATCAAGTTGACTTACTTCTCGGTTCTAGTATCTTTTGGGAATTACTTTGTGTAGGACAGATCCGTACTGGTCCAAACAACCCTATTCTCCAAAAATCTAAATTCGGATGGATCGTGTCAGGACCTATATGCTTAAATGTCAGTGCTCCTAACGTAAAATGTAATCTCGCCGTAGTTAGTTTAGCATCACAACTGGAAACATTCTGGAATGTAGAAAACGTTACCGAACATCCTAAATATTCGCCAGAAGAGGAAACATGTGAACGTATATTTAGAGAAACAACAACCCGCGATATTTCAGGTCGTTTTATAGTAGAATTACCCATGCGCGAAAAATATGTAGATTTTGGAAATTCACGAGATAACGCAAAAAAATGTTTATTAGCTCTGGAAAAGCGATTTAATCGTAACGCAGAATTGAAACATGACTATATCGAATTTATGCGCGAATATGAGCAGCTTGGTCACATGACTGACATAAGTAATCAAAATTTCGCAATACATGACGATAATCAAGCGATATATTACCTTCCTCACCATGGTGTCTATAAAGACAGTCTTACTACAAAATTGCGCGTCGTTTATAATGCTTCGTCGAAGTCTGAATCTGAGGTTTATCACTCAACGACATACTACTAGCAGGTCCTACCATACAGGATGATCTTTTTTCTATACTTATTCGTTTCAGAAAACACGCTTATGTAATAATTGCAGATGTAGCAAAAATGTACAGACAAATATTAATAACAAAAAGACAACGCGATATGCAACGAATTGTTTGGCGCGAATCACCCGATCAACTTATCAAAGAGTACCGCTTGAATACATTAACATATGGAACGTCACCCGCATCCTTTATTGCAACGCGATGCTTACAAGAACTCGCAATTTTAAATAAACCTAAATATCCTGTTGCAACCGAGGTCATATTAAAAGATTTTTATATGGACGATCTCATCACGGAAGCGGATTCAGTTAAAGACGCTATTAATTTGAAACAACAAATAAGTGAAATTTTAGCATCAGGTTGTTTTCAATTAAGGAAATGGAATTCAAATTCGCATGAAATACTGTATCACAATTCAAATCAAAACGGTCACGAATTACCACAATACATAATATCAAATGATTCACACGTGAAAACTTTAGGACTCTATTGGAATGCTAAAGACGATATTTTTAAAATAACGTCAAACACCAATTTGGATCGCAACAAAATTACGAAACGCACTATTTTAGGTGGTATAGCACAAATTTTCGACCCACTAGGACTTATCGGACCCATAACGATCAAAGGTAAAATATTGTTGCAACGATTATGGCAGCTACGCATCGATTGGGACGAGTCGGTACCCACGGATATATATACAGAGTGGTGTCAATTTATTGAACAAGCTAGTTTGTTGAAACACTTAATTATTCCTAGACACATAGCATTACCCAACGCAATAGACGTTCAAATTCACGCGTTCAGCGACGCTTCAGAAGCAGCCTACGGTTCTTGTATTTATTTGAAAACAATCAACACGAACGACGAAATTAGTACCCGATTAATATGCGCTAAATCCAAAGTAGCCCCAGTTAAATGTTTAACGTTACCCCGATTAGAGCTATGCGGTGCAGTTTTATCAGCGCAACTTTGCGATAAAGTAATTAAGGCACTAAACATGAATATTTCTAAATTACATTATTGGTGTGACTCAACCATTGTACTAGCTTGGTAAGCATCCCCATGTAATCAATGGAAAACTTTTATATCTAATCGTGTTGCTGAAATACAAAGACTTACAAACATTTCGAATTGGCGACATGTACCATCAACAGAAAACCCGGCAGATATTATTTCCCGCGGAAGCACTCCAGAAAAATTATTAAATTGTTCATTATGGTGGACAGGACCGAAATGGTTAAATAACAACGAAATTACATATAATTCGAATATTGATAATAATTTTCCATTTGACATACCCGAACGTAAAACACAAAATTTAGTAAATTTACATACGGTTACGAATCTCGACATTTTTTTTAAATTTTCCTCTCTAACAAAGTTAACGCGTATAACAGCTTATTGTCTTAGATTCAAACACAATTGTTTAACCAAAAATTCTCGTCTATATGGTTCTTTGTCAGCAAATGAATTTAACAACGCTTTAACAGTTTTAATTAAAATATCTCAATCATGGGAATTTTTTGATGACATGCTAAAACTCAGAAAAAATAAATCGGTAGCTAAAAACAGCAAGCTCGCTTGTTTAAACCCCTTTATTGATAAAGAAGGAATTCTCAGAGTTGGAGGTAGAATTTCAAAATCTAAAATTACGTCCGATCAAAAATATCCCATAATTTTGTCAAATAAACACCCGCTGACTAAACTCATAATTAATAACGAACACTTAAGGAATTTTCACTCAGGAATACAATTGACTTTATCCTCATTAAGGTTATCATATTGGCCCTTAAAAGGTCGTAGCACTGTTCGCAAAATCTTGCACGATTGCATAATTTGTTTTAAGTCAAACTCGAAGTTTTGTACCATTCATTGCCGATTTACCCGAACATCGAATACAACCTGCGTGACCATTTTATAATTGCAGAGTAGATTACGCAGGTCCGTATCTCATAAATGATGGGAAATCTCGAAATAGAAAGTTGGTAAAATGTTACGTTTGCGTTTTCGTTTGTTTCACAACGAAAGCTGTGCACATTGAGTTGGCTGGAGATCTATCTACAAGCACATTTCTTAATATACTAAAAAGATTTATATCACGTCGCGGTATTTGTAAAAATCTCTACTCAGATAATGCCACAAATTTTCGTGGTGCAAGCATTGAACTTAGAGAANACAACGCTTTAACAGTTTTAATTAAAATATCTCAATCATGGGAATTTTTTGATGACATGCTAAGACTCAGAAAAAATAAATCGGTAGCTAAAAATAGCAAGCTCGCTTGTTTAAACCCCTTTATTGATAAAGAAGGAATTCTCAGAGTTGGAGGTAGAATTTCAAAATCCAAAATTACGTCCGATCAAAAATATCCCATAATTTTGTCAAATAAACACCCGCTGACTAAACTCATAATTAATAACGAACACTTAAGGAATTTTCACTCAGGAATACAATTGACTTTATCCTCATTAAGGTTATCATATTGGCCCTTAAAAGGTCGTAGCACTGTTCGCAAAATCTTGCACGATTGCATAATTTGTTTTAAGTCAAAACCTCGAAGTTTTGTACCATTCATGGCCGATTTACCCGAACATCGAATACAACCTGCGAGACCATTTTATAATTGCGGAGTAGATTACGCAGGTCCGTATCTCATAAAAGATGGGAAATCTCGAAATAGGAAGTTGGTAAAATGTTACGTTTGCGTTTTCCTTTTTTTCACAACGAAAGCTGTGCACATTGAGTTGGCTGGAGATCTATCTACAAACACATTTCTTAAAATACTAAAAAGATTTATATCACGTCGCGGTATTTGTAAAAATCTCTACTCAGATAATGCCACAAATTTTCGTGGTGCAAGCAATGAACTTAGAGAAATATATAACTTATTAAAGACATCTCGGGATGATTTGAATGTAAATAAATGTTTAGTCTCGAATAATATCGTTTGACACTTTTTACCCTCTAGGTCGCCTCACATGGGAGGTCTTTGGGAGGCCGCGGTAAAATCAATGAAATTTCATGCTAAAAGAGTAATTTCACACGCTCACCTTACATACGAGGAATTGTACACGGTATTTGTGCAGATAGAAGGTATCCTCAATTCAAGACCTATAACTCCTTTGTCTGATGACCCTACTGATCTGTTACCTCTCACACCAAGTCACTTTTTAATCGGCGATGTGCTTAATTCAATTCCTGAAATCGACATACGAAATGTTCCCGATAACCGACTATCGCATTACCAAAGGACTCAGCAAATTGTACAACACTTTTGGAAGCGTTGGAGTTGCGAGTACCTGTCAACTTTGCAGCAACGACCAAAGTGGCGGTTTCACAAGTCCAATGATTTGCAGATAGGCGATTTGGTACTACTAAAGAACGAGAACACTCCACCCATGCGTTGGCCCTTAGGAAGGATTACACAACTACACCCTGGCGACGATGAGGTTGTGCGTGTAGTGAGTGTTCAAACGACAAACGGTGTTGTGAAACGCGCAATCACAAAAATCTGTAAACTTCCGCTAGAAGTTACTGATAAAGGTGCGACAAATGAACAGACATGAATTTGTTGGTTAACTCTTTAAATTAACAACTATAATGTAACCATTTTCTTTAATTTATTATTAAATGATATTGTAATTTTTTATTATTGAAAGCCGTCAAAGTCTTTCAAGGCCGGCGGTCTATGTTGAAATATCTTGTTAGCTATGAAGTGTCAAAGTGACACAACGTTTTATTTCAGTAATACATAACAACCAAATAAAGATACAGTCCACTTCTAATCACAACGATTCATTTCATTATTCAAGGCAAATCATATAATTATATTTACTCGAAAAGAGAAAATACAGCACAGATATATTTGATCCGGGTTTCTACCGAAGGAAATTGGGATAGTTTTCTGAAAAGATTTTCCATCACTGCAACAAAAGTAATTACTTTCTCATGAGTTCCTTGAGTTCTCTGTCGAATCTCTTCCCATAGCATATATTCGTAATCATATGACTGGAATGCTTGCCGCAACTGTGAGACCAGATTATCCCAAGATATAAAACGACCAGTACGGTACCATAATAAGGCCTTTTGTACGAATAATTCCGGCGCTGATCGCAGCAATTGTTCCTTAGTGACACCCCTAGAGACACGCAATTCTTCAATTCTTTCTAGGAAATCGTTGACACTCGATTTTCCATTAAACCTCACATTCCAAAGACCAATCTCCGGAGCCTTCGGTCTATCTTCGTACGTGACTGGATAATTGGAACCTACAGATGATAATTCTAGATCTTCCAAACGCACAGGGAGACTCTCAACCGGATCGAAAGGGATTCCAGTTACTTCCTTCTGGAGAGGCTTGCGAAATTCTCTAATTGCATTGGGACGTTGAGATATAACTTCTGGGAAGCGGACTTGTGGTTCTGAACTATTCCTGGGAATCTTAGAACGAGGTCTGGCATCTCCGGAATGAGACTGTTGACCTTCAACCCTAGAGTGACCGGTCAGAACATAATGGCTACTGGAAAGGATTCCTCTCGTCAATAAATCATCTCGAGAAATAGATTGACCAGCTCTTGAAGTTGGAACCTCAATTAGGTCATAGGAGACTGTAACAGATTTAGGTTGTCCTGAACATACTTCTGGAATAAGGGGATTGTCTTCATCCAGTATGGCCCGTTCCAGATTTTTGACATTATCAGATTGAGCCTCTGCCTGGCTCGTAGATAAACCCTCGAATGCTAAATTAAGATCGCCTATCAGCTGAGCACATTTGGTTACTAAACTAGCCTTTTAGCCTATTTGATTTTCCTCACACGAAATCCGATTTAATCGAAGAGAAATATGTAACAATCGTGAGTAAATTCGTTGAAATTCATTTTCCCTATTATTTTGATGGAACTCCGTAATAGCAGAATTTAGTTCCTCAATTTTCCCAGAACAAATAGCAAGTTCATTAAAGCAGGCTGCACATTATCGCGGAGCGGAATGGAATAGAACGGAACGGAAATTTTGAAAAGCATATAATTAAGTTAGAGGCCCCACACTACCGTGGATCTGAATACCGCGGAATGGAATAGTTGTCTCGAATATTCATTGCATCACGAGTAGAATTACCTCCCATATTCCTCACTCTTTGTAATCCTCCTGGCACTTCAGATTGTTCTAGTTCACCAGGTTGCCAATAACACTTATCATTTCTTAAATAATTGTGCAAGCAAGTAGCTGCCATAATTATTTTGTCAAGATTTTCAAAAATCACGTTTAATTTTTTGAAAAATATCCTAAACTTTTTACAAAGTAGACCAAAGGCATTTTCGCTATACCGTCTAGCTCTGCTATGTCGGTAGTTGTAAATTTTTTTCATGTTATTGTTTCGAAGTTAAACTCCAGGATATCGACGCATTAGATTTGTACTTAGAGGAAAAGCTTCATCCCCTACTATTACATGAGGCATCAAAATATCAGTTCGAGACAACTTTTTTGGTCCAGGTATTTTTAACGTACCGCCATTCAAAGCTCTTCCTAGTGCCGAATTTTTGAAAATTCCTCCATCGCTATTTTTTTCGTAAGCGCCAATATCAATGGTAATAAATCTTAAGTCAGCATCGACTAGCGCCATCAGGACAACACTAAATTCTTTTTTATAATTAAAATAAGTTGACCCACTGTTTGCTGGTTTTTCCGTCATGCTTCCCATCCAAAAACCTGCAAAAAAAATAATATATTTTTTTCAGTTGAAGATTGCAAGAAAAAGTGGAAAAATTTAAAAGATTACTACAGAAAATCACAAGCTAAAAAGCGCGGTAAAAGTGGCGATTGTGCAGATTGCATTCCAAAAAAATGGAAATATGAAGATGAAATGAGTTTCCTTCTTCCAAATCTGAAGGAAAGACCTCAAAAATCAAACCTAAATGTACCGACTGATTATGCAATGAATGAAGGAATTGCACATATTGAAGATGAAGGTGGTGAAGATTCTGTCGCTACTCAAGATACATTTGATGACACGCCTATTTTGTCACCTCGCTCAGAGATAGTCATAACACCTACTTCAAGCACATCAACCGTCTCTAAACCAAAGCGCCTTCCAAAACCCGAATTGAGAACAGCAACAATATTGCAAAAGTTCTTAGAAAACAGAAAAACGTAAAAGAGCGGATCATTTAACAAAATTTTTTGAATCCGCCTAAGAAACAACACGATCTTTGCCTCCCGAGCTACAAGTTGAAGTAAAGCATCGAATTTCAATGTTGCTTTATGAATTAGAGTCAAAAGCGCTGAAGAACTCAAGTTTAAATGCTAATGATTATACTGAATCAACAAGTTCTAACCATTCGCTAACATCAGATAACGATAATATTTATCTAAATTTGTAAAATAAAATTTAATAAATACATGTACTTACTTCAAAGTCAACGCCAATTTTTCTTGTCGTATCTTGTTTCTGAATGTCTATAATTTTCAACAAATCGTAAAATTTTTCACTAAACATTCGGAAGTACTTAAAAAATTTTTGCTCCTCTTTTAAAAGATCTGAGAATAGATGCTGAAATTCCCCATATTGTTGTCTTTTCACGTAAATTTCATGGATCCATTTGCGCTTTTTATTGTTTTCTCTTTCAATTTCTTCTTCTTCTAAAACTACACACAGCGCCACAAATTGTTCGTCTGAAGTGTCCACTGCGAAAGAACAATACACACTAAAACTTAATCAAGCTAGTCTAGTAATAAATTAAACTCATATACAAATAATTTTTTCCGCGGAATTCCGCGCTAATGTGCGGAGATTCCGAATTTCCATTCCATTCCGTTCCGTTCTATTCCATTCCGTTCCGCGATAATTAGCAGCGTGCTTAACTGCATCCAAAGTAACTGTCCGAGGCATTCGCGCAATATTTAATTTTTCTTTCCGAAAAACGTCTCTTAATATTTCCGTTACTGTATTTCTAATCTGTAATTCGTAACTTAATTCATCGCCCATTAATCGATTAATTTCCATCTTGAAGTAAAGATAATTATTTCTATACTGTAATAAGAAAAGCTAAATTAAAGAAAAGCTAAACTAAAAGCACAAAACCCGCCCTTCACAAAAAAAAACAAAGCCAGAAGCCAAAAGTGAAAACAGTAGGCCGATAATATCTTCTAGCCACAAGGTTACAAAAAAAAACGCTATTTTACCGTTTTGAAAATCAGTAATGTAAACTACTATCTTCCAAATGACCCTTTTGTATAGTATTAAAATTATCTATTGTAATTTATTAACTAATTTTTCTTTTCAATGAAACAATTAATTCCGAAATATTTTCTAATTGTAATATTAATTTTTTATGTAATCAAAATGTATATAAGTTATATGCAAATACCTTAATTCTAAACAGTACTTATTTCTTTCCTAAAGAAAGGACAAAAAAATGGCCTGAAGAAAAAAATGACACAAATTAGAGTAAAATGACCCAAAATAACATTTAAAAGCAATATGAAAACCCAATAAAAAAAATTCCGCTATATATTCTTAACAGTGTAATCAAACCACTTACTGTATTAAGTTTAATAAATGCAACGAGAAATTTAGGATTCAATAATCACCTGCATCAGATTCCTTTTTTGTAGATAAAATAATTTATATTGTATTACCTTCAAGAGGTAGTAATTATTTCAATTATTGTGTAACTAAGTTTAACAAAATAACTTACCAAAAAAAATTGACAAGATATCAATAAATGTATATTCAAAAATTATTAAGTGTATTAAATTAACATAAAATCATGTACATATAAATAACAAAGGCATAGGCAGGGACGTATTAGTGAAAAAAAAAATAAATAAAAGGTTAATTACAAAGATATTTGCTAAATACAATTGAATACAGAAAATAATTCTAATAGTTATCAATCAAGTTCTGGGTAACAGAAAAGAAAAGAAAGAAGAAAATAAAATATATCAAAAATATATTTAAAAGAGAAGCAAAAACAGAAAGAAAAAACAGATGGGCGCCAGTTTGCTACGTGCTTGCACGCAACAAGCAAAAAAAAAGAGAAAGAAAGGGGATGGTCCAGGTGATACAATAACCTCCTGTATATCAATCGGGGTCTGCGCCAGGGATCGGAGATTGGGGGGGGTGGAACGCCCGTCCCGGTCCCTGGGTATGAACCACCGAGGTTATGATACCACCTACTAAGGGAGACAGGGCAACCGAACAAAGAAAATAAGTGATTAAGCTAAACAACAGAATTTAATAAGCAAACTAGAAAGGCAGGCAAACTCCGCTGACGCGGAGTTTGACCTTTCTCTCGGGCCTTCGGCCTTCGGGCAGCGCTGCGCGCGGCCCAAGCGCCGCTCCGCGGTGCTTTCCTTTTCCTGGCTGGTTAGTAGATAAACACCCTGTACTTTGATTTTTAAACACCCTGTATATAAAAGTATGATGAGAATGTTTTTCAAAAAAGAGTAGGCCCTGTTCGAGAAAAGAATAAGAAAAGTTTGTTCCAAACTTCCAAAAAGGCATTTGGTTAGTAAATATAAAATTTTTCATCCAAAGACTACGTAGGTAAGGCAGAAATGGTAAAAA